TGGGTCAGGTGGAGGAAAGAAAAGGCACTTCAGAGTTACCCTCCTCAGGGAGGGCAGCTTTGCTATGCAAAAAAACAAAAAAAAAAAAAAAACCACCTCAGACAGAAATGCAACTGACTTCAGACGTTACACAACATAATTGTCCACTAGGTGGGGAGGTAGGGTTGGGGACTATCCTCACATCAGTGCATGCAGCTGCGATAAGCAGCGCTCGTCACCTCCGTTTGGACAGGGGAAGGAGGTATTTGGGTTAGAGAGCACAGTGACTCCTGGAAATGATTCAACGACCTTCACCGGTCGCAGTCCCGCCCAGGCTGGGATAGGGAGACACATGGCGACAGCAGCATTCCACATTTCTTCTGAGGGGGAGTAATCTCTTCAGCCTCACAGGCTCAAGGGCACCAGATTCAGATAAGAACTTGATTTGGGGCCAGACAGAGATAATTTCCTCTGTCTTAAAGTTCTGTTGATCTCCAACCCCTCTGAATCCAATAATGGTGTAGATTAATCTCAATCCGTGCTGATCCGTCAACTCTATCCTTGATGGCATCCACCTTCTGTGCCAGAGTCTGAATCTCGGCCAAAGTTCCAAGCTTACGACTCATCTCGACAATTATATGAGTGTGCATTCACAGCGCGGTGTAATCCATCCCTGAGCTCCGGGATTGAGCCAATATTCCTCGACAGCTCATTAATTTTTCAGTAAACCAGGTAACCGCTCAGGCCAAACAGCACGAAACCTGACACCAACACCACAAATATCCAGACATCTTCAGAATCCTCTACAGACAGTTGAGAGAGGCAGATCAGGTTCCACTGTTTATAGGAGTCCAAGACATACCCAGCTGGCTCTGTCCCAGAGGGACAACCGGGAGCCCCTTCTCCCGTTCTCATCGTTGAAAAAATTTTGTCAATCGCGTTGAGAGACCAACTGACCAGGTCCATTTTAATAATTTCCAGTTTCCAGAAAAATGCAGAAGCGACGTACACCCAAAGACAGACAAAGAGCCTTGGGATAAGATAGGGCGGAGAGGAGGAAAAAAAGCGTCTGAACCATCCAAGAGAAAGTTTCTTTACAGAGTCTTTCTCTTATCCAATGGCACCATCTAGTGGCTGACAAGCATATCACACAAACAGTTTCTACTTTTTTTTTAAGATTGCGACTTCACATTTTTTGTTTAAAAATGTTATAAAACACGTTTTTTTACAAGTATTATTCTCATGTCAAGCTGTGTTTTCATGTATTTATATTTTAAAGACTTACTTGTCCGTGAAAAGTTCATCAACTCTGCATCAGCCGAGGTATTCCATAAATTGTACGCATCTAAGCTATTTGTTAGTCCTGGTCGGCGCTCAGTTTCCTGTTGCACAGAGCTCTGTGGGGCATGGGGCATGCTTAGCAAAAACAGTATATGAAATTACACGATAAGACAATCACTTTTACGGATTTCTGAAAAATCACACATTATTAGCACAAATCCCCTTTTATGCCATTCTTCTTTTAACACATGGTAAAAACAGACTTCCAAACTTTCAGACATCTCCCATGATTTAGTTTGAATACCATCTGCAGCTGTTTTTCACATAAAAATGCGAGTTTTGTACATCTCTCTCCCTGTATACAGTCAGGTCCCTAAATATTGGGACATCGACACAATTCTAACATTTTTGGCTCTATACACCACCACAGTGGATATCAAATGAAATGAACAAGATGTGCTTTAACTGCAGACTGTCAGCTTTTATTTGAGGGTATTTACATCCAAATCAGGTGAACAGTGTAGGAATTACAACAGTTTGCATATGTGCCTCCCACTTGTTAAGGGACCAAAAGTAATGGGACAAATGGCTTCTCAGCTGTTCCATGGCCAGGTGTGTGTTATTCCATCATTATCCCAATTACAATGAGCAGATAAAAGGTCCAGAGTTCATTTCAAGTGTGCCATTTGCATTCGGAATCTGTTGCTGTCAACTGTCAAGATGAGATCCAAAGAGCTGTCACTATCAGTGAAGCAAGCCATCATTAGGCTTAAAAAACAAAAGAAACCTATCAGAGAGATAGCAAAAACATTAGGCGTGGCCAAAACAACAGTTTGGAACATTCTCAAAAAGAAGGAACGCACCGGTGAGCTCAGCAACACCAAAAGACCTGGAAGACCACAGAAAACAACTGTGGTGGATGACCAAAGAATCCTTTCCCCGGTGAAGAAAACACCCTTCACAACAGTTGGTCAGATCAAGAACACTCTCCAGGAGGTAGATGTATCTGTGTCAAAGTCAGCAATCAAGAGAAGACTCCACCAGTGTGAATACAGAGGGTTCACCACAAGATGTAAACCATTGGTAAGCCCGCAAAACAGGAAGGCCAGATTAGAGTTTGCCAAACAACATCTAAAAAAGCCTTCACAGTTCTGGAACAACGCCCTATGGACAGATGAGACCAAGATCAACTTGTACCAGAGTGATGGGAAGAGAAGAGTATGGAGATGGAAAGGAACTGCTCATGATCCCAAGCATACCACCTCATCAGTGAAGCATGGTGCTGGACGTGTCATGGTGTGGGCATGCATGGCTGCCAGTGGAACTGGTTCTCTTGTATTTATTGATGATGTGACTGCTGACAAAAGCAGCACGATAAATTCTGAAGTGTTTTGGGCAATATTATCTGCTAATATTCAGCCAAATGCCTCAGAACTCATTGGACGGTGCTTCACAGTGCAGATGGACAATGACCCAAATCATACTACAAAAGCAACCAAAGAGTTTTTGAAGGGAAGGAAGTGGACTGTTTTGCAATGGCCAAGTCAATCACACCTGACCTGAATCCGATTGAGCATGCATTTCACTTGCTGAAGACAAAACTGAAGGGAAAATGCCCCAGGAACAAGCAGGAACTGAAGACTGTTGCAGTAGAGGCCTGGCAGAGCATCACCAGGGATGAAACCCAACATCTGGTGATGTCTGTGTTCCAGACTTCAGGCTGTAATTGACTGCAAAGGATTTGCAACCAAGTATTGAAATGTATAAGTTTGATTCATGTTTCTTATTCTGTCCCATTACTTTTGGTCCCTTAACAAGTGGGAGGTACATATGCAAACTGTTGTAATTCCTACACCGTTCACCTGATTGGATGTAAATACCCTCAAATAAAAGTTGAGGGTCTGCAGTTAAAGCACGTCATGTTCATTTCATTTGATATCCATTGTGGTGGTGTATAAAGCCAAAAATGTTAGCATTGTGTGGGTGTCCCAATATTTAGGGACCTGACTGTATCTCGCTAACTGCGGTCGGTGCGCACCATGGGTCGGACCTCTAATAACCCTAGAGCCGCTGATCAGAGCGTCACTCACCAGGGAGGAGAAAAACAATAAACCTCCAACCTTATTTAGTATTGTCCCTATGAAAACCTGCAGCCAATCATCATTTTATCTGCAGTTAATCACTGGTGAAGCAACAATAAAATGAAACGCATGAAGTGATTGAATGAATCAGGAAGAAATGTTGTTTCTGTTTTTACATTTTTCACTTCAGTTAAAACTATAATTTAATTTAGATGAGGATTTTTGTGTTGCATTGTTTGATGAATGAATCATAACAAACCAAGTTTTGGGCATTAAATGTTCTTCAAATAAATCTTAGAATTTATTTGTTCTACTGAAATTCATCTGGTATGTGAAAATGTAAAATAAAAAAAAGACATTTTGAAATAAATAAATAGAAGAGAAGAGAAAATAGTGTGATATAGATCTTAGGCCATATGGCCCATTCCTACCCACGTGAATAATAAACCAGCTTTTATCAAGCAACCCCGTCCTGCATGCTTTTCGTGTCTGTAATGCGGCCCACCTGATTTACATATTTGCATTGCTTTCTCAAGCTGACATCAAGTGCTGCACCTGTTAATCACTCATTCATTTAGACCAGGTGTGTGGCAGTAGGGAAACACCTAAAACAAGTAGGACAGGGGGGCACTGAGGACCAGGGATATGAAATACTACATGAAGGAAAACCGGAGCAGGGCTGCAGAGCTACTGAGAGGGCCTGAGGCCTCGTTCACACTGAATGCAGAATGGGTGAGATCCAGTTTCACATGGATCAGAAATCATTGACTCCAATCAGAGCATTTACACCAGCTGTGGTGCAGATGCAGAGCTCCAGAAAGTTTTGCACATGGAGTCTGGACCGTGCATGAGGATTGTTAGTTAAAGAATTCACCTGAGCCATACAGGAAGTGAGACATGGATCAGCGTTAAGGAGGTTTAATGAAATTATTTTCATTTATACATTGGTTGTACATTCTACTTTTGGGGACTTGTCAGCACGTTTGACTAAGGGGGTCTACGAGTCCAAAGAGGTTGGGAACCACTGGTCTACAGAAAGTCCAGAATGCAGCAGCAAGATTTCTTACAAACACACACGCTATCACATCTCACTCATTCAAGCCATTTTTAATTTCTCCCTTGCATTACTGACTGCAGTTCAAATTTAAACTTCAAAGCTCTGAATGGTCTAGCCTCCCTCTACATGTGCTCACCCCCCAGATCCCCTATGATGATGAGTTACGAAGCTTGTGGAGAGCATGCTTTCGTTTTCGCTGCTCCCAAACTGTGAAACGAACTCCTGTTCGTGCGTCAGGCTCCTTCACTGCGGCACAGTTTAAATCTAGACACATTTCTTTCATGTAGCTTTTGGCTGGTGAGCTCTGCACCTCTGTTTTTACTAACTGTTTCATTTTTCTGCTTCAAATCCATGGTTGAAACATACCAAAGACTTGTGAAAATGGGACCCATGCCTCCCTGCTTGACACTCGGCATTAAGAGGTTGGATCGGGGGGTTAAACCACCAAATAGTTCCTGAGCGCAGCCACTGCTGCAGCTCGCCGCTCCCCGTGGGGATGGGTCAAATGCGGAGATGTAATTTCACCAGTGTGTGATGAAAATGAACAGTTTTAAGAGAAATATTAATAATAATACAGTTCTGTTAATAAAGCTGATATTTACCTGCTCTCTTGAATCTGTCCATTAGGTTTAGCCTAACTTCCCTCTGAAGACTGAAGTAGTCATCTTCTTCATCAGGGTTCTTCAAGTAGAGAGGAATGTGCTGGAATACCAAGAGGTGTTTGGGTTTGGGTTCCTGAGAAACAAAATACCACAAATAGATAGTGTATTAATGAGAAAAAAAGAAATCCAAACGTAACAAAGAAGCTAGCGAGATGAAAACCACAAACATCCTCATGAGTCAGAATGAAAGTCACGCCATCCTACCACTGAAGAGGAGGAGGAGGCCCTGCTCAGCTGTGCTTCCAGCCACGTCTTCTGAGCCTCCTGCAGCTGAGGGCAGGCCGAGGCGTCGTAGAACAGCTGGGAGTTCAGAACCAGGCAGAGAACTCCGCCCACCTGGGACAACACAGGCGTGAGAAACAAAAAGCTGAAAAACGCACAAGAAACTCACGTGATGAGCAATGCACTTCCTGCCACCCATACATCACAAATTACCATTCTCATTTTATTAAAACCCTGCCAGGGACACGTTCAAATTTCAACAAGTTTGGCTTCTCAGGTTCTATAGGAGGATCTTTTGTGACGTCAGGGTTTCTTGCATTGCATCATGGTACAAGAAAATACACATTTTGCCTATGATTTGGTTGTTTTGATAGTTTGGAGGAGGATTCAGCAAAGCAGATGGATCATATTTGTTGTAATGGTTGATAGCTGGCTGATGGGAGGCTTGATAAAAAGTTTTAATGGGATTTCATCCGTAAACGACAGCGAAATACAAAAGAGATGATAGGAAGCGACCCAGACTCTCCGAAGAAAGCCTGGACTCCTGCAGCAACGGACAGTTTGTGAGGCTTATTTTGTACATGATAAGTCCTTGTGACTAAGAATTAGTTAATTAGAGAAGATGCTTACAAAAACATTCATCTTTGTGCATTTTTAAATCCACTGAGTCCAGTTGTTTTCGCATTCTTTATTCGGGTGTCTCAACCCGCAGTCATAATAAATAAGGGCACTGATTAATGAAGACCAACCCGGCTTTGCAGTCACTGTGAGGATTTATCCATTTTCACCCACAGGTGATGTAAACAACGCTGTAACTCTGCTCGTCAGAGCTGATTGCTGCTATTAGCGTGACCACGGCTTTCTGTTTTCAGAAGAGATCAGCTCAACTTTCCTTAAAACAAAATTGTTGCAGGCCTTCAGTTTTTAATTTTTTTATGAGTCAAGGGTCCCGGGCTTTCTGTTGAATAGAAATAAATGTCTCCCCAGCCGATTTGTGTGTGTGTGTGTGTGTGTGTGTGTGTGTGGGGGGGGGGGGGGGGGGGGGGGGGGGGGCACAGGCAAATGGGACAGACGTTTTCCCTCATCCCAGAGTCCATACGAGCTTCAAATAAATTTAATTTTGTCTACCATAGACGGAGATCCCAGGGGGAATGGGGGGGGGGCGCCCCCACACACACACACAAAGTTGTCCCCCCACAAAAGTTATTGTAAACACATAAATGCTATCAGTGAACCTGTATTTTCTTCTAAAACCACAACGTAAAAGTTAGTCTACAGATACAAAACAATGTGTTTTTAATTGTTGAGAAATTATAGTCCCCCCCCCCCCCCCCTCCAATTCCACAGCCTCCAGCCCCAGGAAGCCAAGCAACAACAGAGGTGGCTAAGACCCCTAGTCTCCCTCCGCCTGCTCCAATATAGTGTTGTGTGATCATGAGGTGTATTCCATGGCTGTGGTGAGCGGGCATCATCCAGCCTATGCCAGCTGATGCCACCGCACCACCCCACTTACACCCTCAAATGAAGCTTCAATCATATATAAATATCTAGGATGTTGATATATTCGATAGAAGTTCATACGCCAACGAGCTTGGTCTATATTTAATCCAAAGATTAATTTTTAATTTTAAGATAAACTTTTGCTAAAATTTTACTATTTATTGAATCAGAAGTTTAAAGGAATCTTTGCTTATTCAATAACCAAAATATACACCATTCTGTGTTTCATTTCAAAGAAGAGTCAGGTTTTAAAAAGTTAAGAATTTATTACTAACACTTTTAAAAATGACAATTAAGAAATGACAATTTGTAACTGACAATTTGAAACAGCTTGATATTAAACTTGTTATTAAAAGCTTTACCTGTGTCTGAATGAAAAGCTAAAGTGAAATGCGAGTTTTGGATGCGTGAATGAATCTCAGAAGGTTTCTTTCAGAGAGAGAAGCGCGTTCTGGGTGAATACGTTGTTTTGCAGCTAACTGATGTTACTGGGGGAACAGCATACAGACACCATCTGTCGGACAAGGTCTACCTCACCCAGTTCAGGAGACCCTCCGTGGATCCGAGATGTCAGGGAGAGCATTTCCTCCGGGCACGAGGTTGGTAGAGAGACCTCGGTGCGCCTCAAATCGGTCCTGAGATGTCTCTGTGGGTCACACGACTGATGAAACTATTTGCCTCTCAAAATCAATAACTCTGAAGGAGTTTTTGCGTCAGCTGGAAACAGGTGAGTCTATTCGGAGCAATTCCATCGGCTGGGGTGGCCGACCCTCGTCCTCTGGGATGGTTCAAGAACTGACTTTGAGCTGTGGAGATTTGGTTTTAACAAAACCTCAGAACACGCCCTCTCAGCGTCGGAAAGCTTGTTGTTATGAAGCAAAGACGTGAGGTGGTTTAACCTTATCCTGGATCCAGCCCTCTGCATGAGGTGTACACGTGCAAATGACCTTCTGGTTGATGATCACAAATTACTGATTATCATGAATAATAATTATTTTTAACCCAAAGTATAATAAGTCATTTCAGTAATTTAATACATTATACCGAACCAAGATGATTATTTATGATGATTGTAATAAACAGTAAAACAGTTTATTGAATTATTATTTTAAAATTATTATTTTGAAATCTTGGGAGTGTCCTTCATCTTGGGACGGAACAGCAGCCAGATAAAGATGATGTTTTGCAGACATCACGGCTCCTGGGGTAATCTGTGGAGCAAAAGGTACGGCTTGACCCAGCTCGACCCAGCTGGGAAAGTGTGGCCTTTGGGTCACAAATATGAGGCCATTCATGACACTACATCATCTACAAGGAGCTTCTCAGCTAGCTGCAGTTTGCTGGGACCTCAGCAGCACCTTCAGAGTCAGCCCACCAAACTGACATGCATGCCAGAGTACTTTGAGAGTGATGCCACCCAGTTTAGGAAGCAATGTAAAAACTGTATGGAAGCTGGTGGTGAAGACACCAGTTTACTGTAGAAAGGTCCCGCTGTGCTTCACCTTCAGAAAATGGCATGATGTCCATTACTAAAGCAGTGATGTCTTGTGTTACTTTCTTGTAAATATGTAAATATGAATATATAATTCTCCTCCTTCTCCTTTGCAGCATAACAGTTACAGTTGTCATTACACGTGTAGTAAATGTGTTGATATCTTATATATATATATATATATATGTGTGTATGTATATATATATATATATATATATATATATATATATATATATATATACATACACATATATATACACACACACACATATATATACATATATACATATACACATATATATTTATATATATATATATGTACATATATATATATATATATATATATATATATTTATATATATATATATACACACATATATACATATATATACATACATATATATATACATACATATATATATATACATATATATATATATACATACATATATATATATATATATATATACATACATATATATAATATATATATATATATATATATATATATATATATATATATAATTGTATATATTACATTGTTTATTTTTGTATTTTTTAGTAAATTTACACCAGTTTTTTTCCAGTTCACATTCAGTTATTGCTAATAAATTTGCTCCGTTAGGAGTCAAATATTTTCCTTTATATGATTTCCCCTTATTTTGAATAGGTAAATTAATGTTGGGTGGATCGGTGGGCAGAATACTTCGAAGACCTCCTCAATCCCACCGGTACGCCTTCCAGTGAGGAAGCAGAGTCTGGGGACTTTGAGTTGGGACTCTCCAATCTCTGAGGCAGAGGTCACTGAGCTGGTCAAAAAACTCCTCAGTGGCAAGGCCCCAGGGGTAGATGAGATCCACCAGGAGTTCCTTAAGGTCTCTGATTTTTGCAGAGGATGTGGTCCTGTTGGCTTCATCGGACAGTGATCTCCAGCTTTCGCTGGAGCGGTTAGCAGCCAAGTGTGAAGCAGCTGGGATGAGAATCAGTCCCTCTAAATCAGAGACTGTGATATTAAATCAGAAAAGGGTAGAATGTCTCCTCCAGGTTAGGGACGAGGTCCTGCCTCAAGTGGAGGAGTATCTCAAGGTCTTGTTCAAGATTGAGGGAAAAATGGAGCGTGAGATCGACAGGCGGATTGGTGCTGCATCTGCAGTGATGCGGGCATTGTACCGACCTGTCGTGGTGAAGAGAGAAATGAGTCAGAAGGCAAAGCTCTCGATTTATCGGCCGATCTACGTTCCTACCCTCACCTATGGTCACGAGCTTTGGGTAGTGACCGAAAGAACAGGATTGCAGATACAAGCAGCCGAAACAAGTTTTCTCCACAGGGTGGCTGAGCTCTCCCTCAGGGACAGGGTGAGAAGCTCGGTCATCCGGGTAGGGCTCTGAGTTGACCCACTGCTTCTCCACATCGAGAGGAGCCAGTTGAGGTGGTTCGGGCATCTGGTCAGGATGCCTCCTGGACGCCTCCCTGGTGAGGTTTTCTGGGCAAGTCCAACTGAGAGGAGACCCAAGGGAAGATCCAGGACATGCTGGAGGGACTATGTCTTTCAGCTGGCCAGAGAATGCCTTGGGATTCCCCCAAGGGAGCTGGCCCAAGTAGCTGGGGAGAGGGAAGTCTGGGCGTCTCTGCTTAAAATGGATGGATGGATAGATGGATGGATAGATGGATGTTTTCCACAAAAAACGCAAACATTTCCTTATATGGAAAAATAAGATTAAAGTGAGGAAAAAAAGAACCCAAGGAAAAAACCCGACAAATTCCTAATGGCACCAACTGTGCCCAAAATGGTCCAACATGAGGTCCATCTGGACTTCTATCAACTAAAACCTCTCTAACTTTTTTAAACTTCATTTCTTTTGCATGAATTTTGGGTCAGCAAATGTTCAGATCTTATTCTGTGGATTTCTAGATGTTTTAGGCTGCAACAAAGTATTTTAGAAGGATTTTTAACTTAAAGTGGATTTTTTTAGGCAGAACTGGTTTTTACTCATTTCTGCTGTGTTCCAGATCCTGTTACTCTCAATCAGTGACATAAGTGTTGCTTTTTAGAATTTTAGACTAATCTTTAGAGTCTTGCCTTTATTATTTTAAGCTCCTGAGGCTAAAATCGAGCATGGCTAGACAGAGTAAGTAGGAAAAAAAGGCTTTTTTAAATCACAGCCTCTGGCCTTATGGGCTTTGTTAGAAAAAAAAATAGAAAGATGGGCAGATTATGAGCAAGACTTAAGTTTCTGAAGAAAACAAACCTTAGCCACTGCTCTCAAGTACAAATGTATTTCATAGACTAAGGCACTTCAGATATTTGATTCCTATTAATCACAAGGTTAACTTGTAAAGCAGAAAGTTAGTCTATTAGTCTATGTTTTTTGTGTGTGTCTGCATACCCAGAAACTGAAATAGTCATCACCCCAGGATCTGCAATACTGCTCCACTGAGCTGGGTGTAGGGGTGTTGCCCAAGTCATGGTTGCCGCTGACAAACACGAGAGGGATGGAAGGATCCGTTCCCTTCAACGCTGCCTTCAGGTCCCGCTCCTGACCTTCCCTGAAAGGTGTGCCTGGAGAGAAATGAGGGCTTTATTATAACTGTAACAGAACAATGACAAATGTGATGAATGACAGATATTATACAAACAAAACAGTGTTAACATGGAACTGAAAAGCAGCAGCTTGGTTACAAAATGTTTCACAAAGAGCCGATGAAATGATCTAAATGAAAAAAGAAATAGAAGGATGTTGACAAAAATCTTCAGACTGGAGAATCTGATGGGCTCTAAAGGAGGGGGGTTAATAGTGACATATTGGTCAAGTATTAATGGTTTGCATCACTCTGATTAATTAGATATACAGTGGGTACAGAAACTATTCAGACCTTCGTCGATGTTTCACTCTTTCTGATATTGCAGCCAAATCCTAAGATCAATTCAATGCATTTTTTCATCATTAATGTACACACAACGCTCCAGGAGTATGGGGTGGGTGGCTTTCTGTTAAGGGCCATTCAGTCCCTTTACCAGAGGAGCGTGAGTTTGGTCCGCATAGCCGGTAGTAAGTCGGACCTGTTCCCAGTGAGGGTTGGACTCCGCCAGGGCTGCCCTTTGTCACCGGTTCTGTTCATCACTTTTATGGACAGAATTTCTAGACGCAGCCGTGGTGTGGAGTGTGTCGAGTTTGGTGGCAGGAGAATCTCGTCTCTGCTTTTTGCGGATGATGTGGTCCTCCTAGCTTCATCCAGCTCTGACCTTCAGCTCTTGCTGGGTAGGTTCGCGGCCGAATGTGAAGCGGCTGGGATGAGGATCAGCACCTCCAAATCTGAGACCATGGTTCTCGACCGGAAAAGGGTGGCTTGCCACCTCCGGGTCGGGGGAGAGGTCCTACCTCAAGTGGAGGAGTTTAAGTATCTCGGGGTCTTGTTCACGAGTGAGGGTAGGAGGGATCGGGAGATCGACAGGCGGATTGGTTCGGCGTCTGCAGTGATGCGGACGCTGAGCCGATCTGTCGTGGGGAAGAGGGAGCTGAGCCAGAAAGCCAGGCTCTCGATTTACCGGTCGATCTACGTCCCAATCCTCACCTATGGTCATGAGCTTTGGGTAATGACCGAAAGAACGAGATCGCGGATACAAGCGGCCGAAATGAGTTTCCTCCGTAGGGTGGCCGGGCTCAGCCTTAGAGATAGGGTGAGGAGCTCGGACATTCGGGAGGGACTCGGAGTAGAACCGCTGCTCCTCCGGATCGAAAGGAGCCAGTTGAGGTGGTTTGGGCATCTGGTCAGGATGCCTCCTGGACGCCTCCCCGGGGAGGTGTTTCGGGCATGTCCTGCCGGCAGAAGGCCCCCGGGTCGACCCAGGACACGTTGGAGAGGTTACATCTCCAATCTGGTCCGGGAACGCCTTGGGGTCCTGCCGGAGGAGCTGGTGGACAAGGCCGGGGAGAGGACGGCCTGGAGCTCCCTAGTTGGGATGCTGCCCCCGCGACCCGGACCCGGATAAGCGGAGGAAGACGAGAGACGAGACGAGAATGTACACACAACACCCCATATTGACAGAAAAACAGATTTTTATAAATGTATGCAGATTTATTAAAAAAGAAAAACTGAAATTTCACATGGTCTTAAAGTACTCAGACCCTTTGCTCAGTAGGAGAAGCACCCTTTTGAGCTAATACCGCTGTGAGTCTTACTGGTAACAATGCAACAAGTTCCTTACACTTGGATTTGGGATCCTCTGCCATTCATCCTTGCAGATCCTCTCCAGTTCGGTCAGGTTGGATGGTGAACGTTGATGGGACAGCCATTGTTAGGTTTCTCAAGAGATGCTCACTGTGGTTTAAGTCAGGGTTCTGGCTGGGCCATTCAAGAACAGTCAGAGAGTTGCCGTGAAGCCACTCCTGTTATTTTAGCTGTGTGCTTTAGGATCATTGTCGTGTTGGAAGGTAAACCTTCGGCCCAGTCTGAGGTCCTGAGCACTCTGGAGCCAAGCCCAGCTAAGCCAACTTTATTTATATAGCACCTTATGACAGCATAGAACTGACCAAAGTGCTTCACAGAATTAAAATGCATTAAACACAACATAAAAATACATAAAAATTAAAAGTAAAAACTGGAACTAAAAGACTCTCATGCTGAGTTAAAAGCCAAAGCGTAAAATGGGTTTTCAAAAAAGATTAAAAACCAGACAGAGAAGATGCTGACCTAATGCTTAAAGGCAGCACATTCCAGAGCCTAGGGGCTGCTACAGAAAAAGCCTGCCACCTCTGAGCGTATGTTCAATCCAGGAAATCCTTGTACTTGTCGCATTCATCGTTTTGATTACAACTAGTGATCCTGTCTCTGCAGGTGAAAAAAAAAACACAGCATGATGCTGCCACCGCCATGCTTCACTGTGGGGACTGTATTGGACAAGTGATGAACAGTGCCTGATTTTCTCCACACATATCGCTTAGAATTAAGGCCAAAACGTTCTATCTTGGTCCCATCAGACCAGAGAATTTTATTTCTCACCATCTCCAGGTCATTCAGTTGTCTTTTAGCAAACTCTATGCTGGCTTTCATGTGTCTTGCACTGAGAAGAGGCTTCTGATGGGTCATTCTGCTATAAAACCCTGACTGGTGGAGGGCTGCAGTGATGGTTGACTTTCTTTTTTTTTTTTTTTTGTGGTTGACTTTCTTCAGCTTTCTCCCATCTGCTGACTGCATCTCTGGAGCTCGGCCACAGTGATCTTTGGGTTCTTCTTTACCTTCCTCACAAAGGCTCTTCTCCCCCGGTAGCTCAGTTTGGCCAGACGACCTGAAGGGTTCTGGTTGTCCCAAACGTCTTCCATTTAAGGATTATGGAGGCTACTGAGCTCTTAGGAACCTTAAGTGCAGCAGATATGTTTTGTAAACTTGTCCAGATCTCTGCCTCACCACAATTCTGTCTCTGAGCTCTTCCGGCAGTTCCTTTGACCTCATGATTCTCATTTGTTCTGACATGCATTGTGAGCTGTAAGGTCTTATATAGACAGGTGTGTGGCTTTCCTAACCAAGTCCAGTCAGTGTAATCAAGCATAGCTGGACTCCAATGAAGGTGTAAGACCATTTCAAGGGTCATCAGAAGAAATGGAAAGCACCTGAGTTAAATATATGAGAGTCACAGCAAAGGGTCTGAATACTTAGGACTATGTGACATTTCAGTTTGTCTTTTTTATTAACTCTGCATACATTTCTAAAATTCTGTGTTTTCTGTCACTATGGGGTGCTGTGTGAACATTAATGTGGGAAAAATGACTTTAATTGAAATGGCAGTAATATAATAAAGAGTGAAATATTGAAGGGGGTCTGAATGCTTTCTGTACCTACTGTATTTCTCCACAGTTACTAATAAGATGATGTGGCATCTAGAAAGCTATGGAACACCATACAACAATGAATATTTAAACTTTTTTAAAAAGTTATTTTTTTAAAGGTGACATCCTAAAATATGATTGAGCTATTTTGGAAAAAAAAGAAGGAAAAAAAAAGGTCTTTATTACCAAATTAGATTCAGTCCAATAAACCAGTGAGACTACAATCTATATATAACATTTAAGTTATATCAAACAAACCATCAGCATCTGTTTATAAATTATACAGTTAATTATAAGTTATTATAACGTGACACAGTAGAGCCGTTTCAGATGTTGGATGAATGAGTGACAGATGGTATTTTGATTTCATCACATCCGTCTGTACAGTGGTGTGAAAAACTATTTGCTCCTTCCTGATTTCTTATTCTTTTGCATGTTTGTCACACAAAATGTTTCTGATCATCAAACACATTTAACCATTAGTCAAAGATAACAGAAGTAAACACAAAATGCAGTTTTGAAATGATGGGTTTTATCATTTAGGGAGAGAACAAAATCCAAACCTACATTGCCCTGTGTGAGTAAGTAATTGCCCCCTGAACCTAATAACTGGTTGGGCCTCCCTTAGCAGCAATAACTGTAATCAAGCATTTGTGATAACTTGCTACAAGTCTTTTACAGTGCTCTGGAGGAATTTTGGCCCACTCATCTTTGCAGAATTGTTGTAATTCAGCTTTATTTGAGGGTTTTCTAGCATGAACCGCCTTTTTAAGGTCATGCCATAGCATCTCAATAGGATTCAGGTCAGGACTTTGACTAGGCCACTCCCAAAGTCTTCATTTTGTTGTTCTTCAGCTATTCAGAGCTGGATTTGCTGGTGTGTTTTGGGTCATTGTCCTGCTGCAGCACCCAAGATCGCTTCAGCTTTAAGCCTGGTTTATGCTTCTCTGTCAGCCCCGCAAGGGACAGACACACACGGATTGACGGAAGCATTTTGCTCTCATACTTCTCTGTCTCCTGGAGAGTGTTGCAAAGCAATTGCCCGGCAGGACAACAGAGGGCGTAGCGCTGGTCTGTGGTATCCTGTCATGTATCGGTCCAAGATAGTGTTTATATTGTGTTTTTTGTGTATATAATAATAATAATAATACATTTTATTTCAAAGCCCCTTTCAGGACACCCAAGGTCACTTTACAGAAAACACGTAATAAAATACAATAAAACAATAATAAAACCCAAACAAGAAAAAACAAAGAGAGAAACAGTTCAATAAAATCAGAGGTTGTAGGCAGATTTAAACATGTGTGTTTTGAGTTTTGATTGGAAAAGGGTAAAACTGTCGATGTTCCTGATGTCTGGGGGAAGTGAGTTCCAGAGACGGGGAGCAGAGCGGCTGAAAGCTCTGCTCCCCATGGTAGCGAGACGGGCAGAAGGAACCGCAAGATGGATGGAAGAAGATGATCTGAGTGAACGGGATGGGGTGTGAATACTTATAAGGTCTGAGATATATGGAGGAGAGAGGTTGTGGATAGCTTTGAAGGTATGGAGGAGAATTTTGAAGATGGACCTGAATTTAACTGGGAGCCAGTGAAGCTGCTGGAGAACCGGGGTGATGTGGTGAAAGGAAGGGGTTCTGGTGATAATACGGGCTGCTGAATTCTGGACCATTTGCAGTTTATGAAGGAGTTTGTTGGGGAGACCATAAAGAAGTGAATTGCAATAGTCGATACGGGAG